GGGGGCCGATGATATACCGGCTAAAATTTTGATGCAACTCAGCGCTGCATGGGGAAATGAACGTGCATCAAGTGCGTTGATTGCAATAAGCCAAAGGTGTATTGAACTTGTTTGCAAATGTGGTTTTGCAGTTCATGACGAATCACATTGATAATGCTATAAACAAATGTCAAATCAATGACAACCACACACACATACACACACACGCACAAAAAACATATTGCAAAAAAATAAATCATTCAGGAAACCATCCAATCATTTGCTTTCATACAACATCAAAAACTGGCCATGTCAGGGCCGTGTCAGGGGCATGTCAGGGACCCCCCCCTCCCCCGCCACCCCACGACCCTCCCATCACAGGCCCCTGACATGGCCACTGTTTCCAATTGAAAATAGTACACACATGAAATTTAACACACTGTCAGTCATTAGAATACCAGATTTTGCAATGTGCATGAAATGTGTTTCGATCAAATGCAATCATATCATACACTGTACACTGCATGTGACGGATGATTGAATCATCTCACTATCTCAAAACAGTTTTTGGGGTCGACCAACGAGCAACATTATAACTACATTGGGCAGGCTTCACTGTGATCTTAACACACAGCTGATTTATATATATATATATATATTTAGGGAAGCTTTCTACCATGATTTTGTGTTGGGATAATGTCAGTCCCTTACCCTGGTATTCATGCCTGAAAACTGCTCCTGACACACACCCCGACAGTGCTGCCACACATCCTGACACACACACTGCCACACACACTGCCATGTGTAAACGTGGCACTGCCACGCATCTCCAGAAACAACATCTGCTTGCCGCCACATTTTTCCCTCTCGGCTGAGGGTTTCTGTTCTGGTAAACAGCCGAGTGATCACGCAGTCCACAGATTGACAACCCTATGCTATGCATGTTTCAATGCTCACTCGCAATCATTTGTTTCTGCGTGGTCTTCAAAAGCGAAACTACTGTTCAGATTCACAGCAGCCCGGACTGCTTGTTTTTCAAGTACTCCTGGAACTGCTGCACTGGCAAACTACTGTCACCATCTGCGCCATTGATGAGGAGCTGGCATACGGACAGCGATGGCAGCATGTCTTTTTTCATGATCCCCGTCATGGTCTTGGCAATGGATTCTTTCTTTTTCTTGTCGTCATCAATCTTGCGAGTCACCGTGGAAATGACCTTGGTTGAAATTCCTACATGTATTGTAATCATTAAATTTAATCTAATCTTATACTAAGACTATGATTATGCCTCTATTTATAAGTTTATAGTTTATACTGTATAAGATTTAAAATTTATTATATATCATCATATGTAATAAAACATGAACATACAACCTTGCAAACCTGACATCTCAACGCTTGCGCACATTGAAAAACAAACATGACACATATGGTTGGCTAGGTACAATCATGTCTGCCAAAACCATCTCCACCGCAAAGATGTGCTTCTTGTGAACCAGCAAACGTAGAGCAGATTCGGCGGTAGCACAAGTTGCCTTTGCTTTCCCATGTTGTTGCTCGAGTTGTAGGCACTGATGTCCGCAAGCAAAGCCGACTTTCGACACACATTGCTGAAGAAGTGTCTTGAGCATCAAAATCTTTGAGCAGGCAGTGTATACAAAGTCTGCAAATTGCTCCTGAACTGCACCAAAGAACTTGTCTGGGGTGTTGCCAAGCCTGTCGACGACCTGTCCTTGGTCCAATGAGTTGTCAAGCAGCTCCTTCAATAAAGGTGACTCGGAATCTTTGTCTGCGACCTTCTCCCTGAGAGCAGAGTAAGCTTCCTCAACCTCATTTGTGGCTACTTTGAGCAAGGATTCGTACACCCGAGAGTGGCGGAGTAGGCACGCCTGGGCAAATTCTTTCAGCCGTTTCATGACTGGCTCTGTTCCACTCCAATGCTTGCTGGACTCCAATGATTGCTCGAGCTTGAAGATCGAATCGAAGTTCTTGTAGAGAGTATCAAGGATAGGGCCCACCTGAGCAGTTTTGCTGCTGCCGCTCTGCAAAGCCTGGAGTTCCGCAGCCTTCTTGCACGGTTTGATGAGGCCACCCAAACTGGTGTTGGAACCACCCTTCAAGTTGGCCAGCTTCTCCTCAGAAACAAGAAGTTGCTCCACCACTGGAATCCATTCAAAGAGCGAACAAGCTGGTAGGGCAGGCATACTTCCGCTGCGAAACTTCATCTCCTTCTTTGGTGCCTTGTGCAAGAAGACCGACTCAAAGTTGCGCAAGCTGAAGTTGGAGGGCCAAATGATGGTAGTCTTGGCCGGAACTGCTTTTCGCCCGAGAAATTCATCAACTTGCACAAGTAAAAGGCCGAGAATGCCGGTAAAGAAATCTGCCAAAGGATCCAACTTCTTCACTAAAGATGAGCAAGCAAGTTCACCAAAGAAGTCATAGATTGCTTGGAACTTGAAGTTCTGCAGGGATGGCGTCAGATCTTTGATATGGAAGCACAGGTGTTGATCAGACTTCTCCTCTTCTCCCTCAAGCTTGTGCAATCCCACCATGAACTTTCGCAGGTTTGGGTTCACAAGCTTCTCCACGGTCATGTCGCCAGGCTTCGAAGACAATCCAGCAGGCAAGTTAGATTTCCTGGCAAGGATCATGATAATGAATCAATGAATGATAATGATTTGATAACAAAACATAAGATAAAGTTTGACGATAAATGATGAGAGTCCAGAGTCAGTCCAATTAAAAATGATTTCTATTAACTATCCGTCTAAGTCTACTGATGATGTTAAAAGAAAGACCTACAGTGCGCGCAAGAGGCTTAACATAAAAAAACTACTGGGGAGCGAGAACAAGTTTCATCCACTCAGCTCCGCTTGCGCAAACAGCAAACGTCTCTGTCATGCGGTCCAGCTGCCGTGCCAAAACCTTCCCGCTCTCTGGCCCAAGAATGCCTGGTACATCAAATGAAATCCACTTGCGCAAGTTCATCTCCGACAACTTGGTCAAAGTTGCAACAGAACTAGGCCAATCATGCACTTGCGCAACGAAGGAAGCAAGCGCAGCGTTCATAGCCTCATTTGCTTGTGGCGTGGAATCCAGTAGCACTTTCTGGATAGCGTCGAACACTACTGTCGCTAATTTCTCCTGCTTCTCGCTGACGCTGGTGACTTTGCTTGAGATTTGTGCCTGGAACTGTTCAGAAGTACTATGACGAGCCACGTTGATTTTGGCAGCCACTTCAGCCCATTTGAGGTTGTCAGACAAGCTGATACGACCGTCCGGCTGGATCAATTCATCGACTGTGGGCAGCGTGAGCTCTTTGGAGATGTCCAACCTCAAGCATAAATTGAGATGCGCTTGAACAAACAAAGGCATCACAGCTATAGTCAGCTAAAGCTACAAACACAGCCTTTATATTTTCCGTATAGCAACAGTAATCAGTAATAGATAGTAATAGTATTAGTATAGTATAGTAACGTATACTAAGAAATAGATACATAGTATTTAACTTATAATTTCTAGATTATTGATTCTATAATATATTGCAAATTTAAAAGTGATAAAGCATGTCCATAAGTTAGCCAAAGCACGCTTTGTCCAACCCTGCCAAAATTGCCATTTGGGCGTGAAATTCCGCAGCTACATCTTGCGCAACCTCCATCAACCATACCCCACCGTTCAGGCAGCTCATAGGCTTCAGGAGCTTCGAGTTTTTGGAGAGAAGCACAGTGCGAGCTGTTTCAACTTGTTGAACATCAGACTCCCTGGGCAAGCCTGGCTTGGTCACACCACTGAGTGAATTCTTGGCAAAGCTGGCGATGGTCTCCAAATGCCCGAGCTCTACGCAAAGCTCAGAAAGACAATCCATTGACCAAAGCTCCTGCACATCACGTAGGGTTGAAATCATCTTCAGAATATCCTCAATCCTGGCGAGCCCAACTTGGAGCCTGTGTTCGGGGGTATCAGACGGGGCTCCAACTGCAGGTCGTAAGATGAACTCGACCGCGTGGACGATGGCTTTTGAGCGAATCTCGTTGGCCTTGTCACCGACGTTGTGTACAAGTCCTCCGGCAAGTTTATTTGCCAGCTGTGTCCATTCCATAGCCTCTGCCAAAGAGGTTACCATTCTCACAGCAAGCAAGGAATCTATGCTGTTGGTGACGACAATGCCAGCTGCTCGGGCTGCATCCAATGAAGCCGACAAGAAGGAATGATGAAATGAGTCGCCCTGGCTCGCAATCAAGGACGCCACCAGATTCACCGCAGCTGACAAACGCTTCTGGAGAGTACGAAGCTGTGACACAATCTGAACAGCCTTCTCGCGCTGCTCGGTATCCTTCTCATCAGAGAGGCAAGCTGAAACGAGATCTGGAGTCAGACGTCCTGAGGGAATAGCTATCTGAATGCTGAAGACTCGACTGAATGCTTGAATGTGTACTGGTTAGGCTGCGGCCGAGCTTTTGTTTACAAAAAGTCCACGTTTAGAGCTTAGAATCGGGTTCCAGTCTTTACTATACAATACACTATAAATTCAAATCCTATACTATACTATATATGGGTACCCATATATACATATTGTAATATTTTTATATATTTATATATTATATAATATTTGAACAGAAACTGAAACGACACATCACACATTATGATGAATGTCAGGCCTTTGACTTTCTGCTGCATATCTTCAAGCTTCTTCTCCGTGATGCCAAAAATTGCACCTGGATCATCAAAGCTTTGCATCAGCTGCGCAGCTTCTGTGGCAATGGTGTCGCTCTTGTTGAACTCTCTGGTTGCTGATGACTTCGAAGAATTGCCTTTGGCAGTCGCACCTTTGGCATTGCTCGCACTAGTCGCCTTTCCTGACTGTGCAAACATTTGGCTAATATCATAGTCGCCCGATTGGCTCTCAGTCCGTTGTCTCTTTTGACTGCTGTCATTTGGCTTGGTTGTTCCTTGGCCAGTAGGACCCTTCTCCTTGTCAGCTTCAGACTCTGCAGCATCACTCTGCATAGATTCAGGCCCCTGCGCCGCAGGATCCTCCTTCAGGGGACTTCAGGGCACACATGGAAACAACAAATGAGGCTCATGTATTGAATATTGAAATTGACTCGTTGTGTATTTGGAATATTGAAAATTGTTTGAACCATCGCAATGAGCCGTCCTTGATCTCCATTTTCCGTCTCTTCGATGGCTTAATAGTCTCTGATGAGCGGTTGCCCCATAGCTCATCCAAGTCGTCCATAGTGGATGCTTGAAAGTCTGAATTCTTTTTCACTGTCGCTGGCACAATGGACACTTCCCCATCTTGGCTGACATCCATTCCTGGGGGTAAAGATACATGTAGTACAGTATTGTATAAGAATAGTTATATATACTGAATATATATATTTATAGTTATACTTATACGTTATACAAATGAAATTGAATATAACAATACATAATACATGTGTATATTATATATTATAGTTATAGTATATATGTATCAAATAAACAATGACAATGACAATAACTGTTCAAACACACCTTACAACTTTGAAACCAAGCCTTAACTAAGCCATGGTCTTTGAGTCTTTCAGATTTGAGTTTGGATTTCTGTTAGTACCAAAACAACTTTCAACCACCTGTCCTTTAATGGAACCATGCGACTGCATGGCCTGCCAAGTCTGCTCCACCTCCATGTCGTCCAGCGCTTGTTGTCCTTCTAGTACTTCTCCAGACTGCAGGGTTGAGTGGTAGACCATTGTGGGCTAGGTCCCTAGATGCGTTTAATTAGAATTGAGCTGAATTCTAAACCCAGTTTCTCAACTCCTCTCCTTCGACACGTATTTGAAATCCTGGCCAAAGACCGCTATCGATCCCACTGGTCTCCCACGCGATTCATCTAACATGACGCCGTGCACTGTTTTGCCGCTGTATGGCATTGAGACCATCTTCATGTCCTTCCCTGGCTTACACTTCTTCACGCGCTCGTAGACCTCCAGTGGCCAAAAGTAGCCCCTGAATTCTTCAAGACGAACTCCCGACTGCTGCCTGCTGTGTGGAATTGTGACAGGTCAATCTGATACCAATTCAATTCAGTACAATACAATACAGTGTATTAATAATGATAATTATGTTTGTCTCTCTCTTTTTTCTCTACAATTCTATTAATAATTAAGTGCAGTAATACAGCAGTACTCAGACTCAGTGGTACAATGGTGAATGACAAGTTTGGAGAGAACAGGAGAGGCAGAGAGAGAGGGAGAGAGAGAGAGAGAGAGTCGAGAGCATTCCTTCTGAGTCTCACAAGTTTAACCCAATAAATTTTCAGCCTAGGCACCCAGCGTTCAAGTTGGCGTTAGAAGATGTAGCCGTACGTTTTCGGGGATTCTTGCTATCCTTGGTGAACTTGACCTCGTTCTGCTTCCGCTTCTCCTCTTCGAAGGACTGCAAGCCTTCCATGTAGGGAGTGTGCTCTTCAGGGTCTTCCAATGTTTGCTGAGCCTGAAGCGGTGTGTGTCAATTGGCTGTCCAACCAAATCAGCGGAGCTCAAGTCTGGAGTCTAGAGTCTAGAGAGTCAATTGGTGAAATTCAAGTTGAAGGCCCAGGCTTAGAGTCTTAGAGCAGTCTTGGAGTCTTAGAGAGTTAAAATCAAAACTCTGGACTCACTGGAAAACGGCATCAAGGCACCTTCAATGTTCTGAACTTGTCCGGAGTTGTCTTGTTCGCTTGAAAGTTGAAGCAGGGAGCACAAATGTTGCCCCTCTCCCTGCGCCATCTCAATGTCAACTGGTTTGTAGCAATTGCTTGAGCTGCCGGCATAGTTGTGTTGGGCGTCAGGAACTTTGAGCGCTTGCAAAATTTGCAGGAGACATCCTGTTGCCCTGGAGGAAGCTGCAAGGTAGGAAAGTCAACTTCCTGCTGAGGCGCATGTGACTCATGTGCGTCCCCATCCTTTGCCATGTGATGCGCTCAGATACAATCGCACAAATCGCAAGCCTTGAGCTTGACAACCTGAATTTGAGCCTGTTCTCCAAGTCTTGACTCGGTCACCAATGACCAGATATCGGATATCGGATGTATTGCGCTACTACAGTTACTATAGATACTACTATATTATATATAGTAGATTAAAGTATAAATATAGACTTATCACTGCAGCGTACATCATACATTCATACCAAGAATTTGCTTTTCATTTAGTCGGACTCAACAACCCTTGGAGAAGCAGCAATTTGGCAACTCAATGTTTCACTCCTGACTCAATTCAACGGGTCTGTCACAGTCTGTATATCCAAGGTCCAAAATGACTTGAGGTCCTGCTGCAAATCAAAAGTCGTGCTGTGGAGTCACAATCACGACCGATTCACAAAATGCTAATTACGCCACTCCTGCAAATCAAATGAGGGGCAAAGCAAAGTCAGAGTCGGAATCTTCACCCGGCTCGACTCCTCCTGGCGGAGTCAAAGGCAATGAAGTAGACACCGACAACGCACGCCCTTTGCACCGATGGTTCTCGGCCAAGTAAATGAAGTTGCACACCATGTTTGCGGCCAGCGTGCTGGTTTCAAAAGCGTTCCCAGCAAGATCTTGAAGGAACCCTGACGTGTACTTGGCCAAGACCTGCTCGTTGAGGTAGATCCCCTGGAATCTGAGGCTTTCCAATCCTGTGTGATATCTCACCTGCTTCGTAAGAAACTTGGCCCCGTCAGGGGTTATGCATGGCACTTTGTTCTCTGAGATTGCGGAGAAGCTCAAATTCTGGGAGAGATCAATAACCTTGAACACATCGAAGTCAGGAAAAGTGATTCCCTTCAAACGCAGCAACTCCAGTTGACGTTGGGTCAGAGTGCTCAACGCTGGAAATGCTTCCTCCAGGGCATTGCTGGGCCTTTGAAAGCTGCATCGCTCCTGCAATCAAACAAACAACCGACCAAGGAATCTGGTAGTAGTAATGAAATACTGATGGTGTTTGTTATGCACCTCAACCATGGAGAATACTAAAACAATGCGACTCAATCAAACCTACAAATTGCTTCAATGACATGCCAAGAAAGAAAACTGTGCGCGCACACACACAAGGTCTCCTCCCCCAAAGCTCTAAATGCATATGCGTGGTCTCTCTTCCACTTTGCCTGCCCTGGCGAGGAATCGCTTGGCACAGCCTTCAGCTTGCGCTTGTGTCCAGTATGTCTCAATGCGCCCGGTAAGGTTCCATTTGTGCGAAATAGTGCTGAAATGCACAAGGATTTTCCACCCGTTGTGCTAACAAGAAATTCCGCTTCGTCCAAGGCCCGTAGTGCCTGTACCGATCGCTCAGCCTTGATCACATCTGAGGACTCTGCAAGGAGGTACTCTTCTGGATCACATGGGCTGACTCCGGCCAAGAAGTTCATGGTTTCATTGAGCACTTTATGGGCAGCATCCAACGTCATGGCCAGGTCCTTCTTTTTGAAGCAAGAGCCGTACAACCGCTGCCTTTGCTGGCCTGAGCCGAAGTGCTCACGTGAATCCAAGGCCCAGCAGTGACTCCACATGCCCGCCTGCTTGTCGAGGATATAGCAGCAGGCTGACAGGTTCGAAGGTCCACTTGGCCCGCCTTTCTTCCCATCGCTGTCTTTGGTGGGTTTCGGTTTGGGCTTTGCGGCTAGGCTCATGACGTTCTCAAATTGAAAGACCTGGCAAGTCTCTGACTCAGCCAGGTAGCCAGCAATAGATCTGAACACACTTCCTGTGCGAAGTGAGCCCTGCCAGGCACGAGCAACCAAGCGGCCCATACTTAAGACAAACTAAACTTAAACTTAGACTTAAACTGCCCTTCACTGTCACTGGCGGCAATTAGATAATCAGATCATCAGATAACGATAATCATATCTCAACAACTATGATTGGGATGAGTTGGAGTATGAGTATGTTATGTTACTTTGATGCCCTTTGTTCTTGGTCGACAACCTTGCCTCAGAAACACAGAGACGGTGTGCATATGTGGACGATCTTGGATGAAGCTGACTCGCATCGTCGCATGGAAACCCTGCTGAAACTATTCCAGCTGGGTCTGAGATGGGTTCGCAGGCGTCTGTGTGCAGTGTCTTCATTTGGTAGAAGTCTTTCAGGAACGTCTGCTTGGCCACGTTGCTTTCACAGGAAAAGACATGGTTAAGCTCGATGTCCTCGATGTTCAAAGTCTTGCTGGCGGCCTTCAGAAAGCTTTGGAGCACCAAGATGGCACAATCTGTGCCCGAGCAGAAAGTTCCGACAGACATCAAATCTTGCACATCTGCATCAGACCTGAAGAAAAGGCACCCCAGTGGCAAAGCCAGTTTAGTCACGAATGCACTTCCAAACTTCAAACCGTAGACTCTGGGATCTAGATGTACTCAAAAACCTCTAGATTTTTGGAACGTCACTCCTTCAATATTCAACGGCGACAGCAATCCTTGACCAAGCGACAAGAACGCTCGCAAAGAATCCTTCCTGTGGTCAGGCAGTTCAGCGAACCAAAGGGATAGGAGTTGCTCTAAGCGCTCGGGCCCTGCAGGAATTCTCGGCCAGCTTCGAGAGGGACATGGTACTTCTGGTTTGATATGCGGAACTTCTCCTGTTTTAAAGGCATCCAACACGTTCAGCTCAGACTCAGACATGTGCACCAGAGTTGGTGCTTCTGAAAGCCACGGCTGGCTCACAGGCTTGCAAAGCACAACAAAACAGTGTTCTATATATAAAATATAAATACATATAATATATATAGAGATTCTGGATAGATTTTAAGCATTCTATTCAAATTCTATCGCTGTTTGATATTAAATAACGTGTCTTGTCGCTTCCTGTCAGACTGTTCAGCCAGCAGCTAAGTGCGGGCTAGCGGCTAGGCTAGAGCTTGAACTTGAAAGCCGGAAAAAACATGTCGAATGGACCCTACCCTCCAATACCTAAGGACCTAATGACCTAATGGACCTAATGCCTAGACTCTAGACTGTTCAGCCAGCAGCTAAGTGCGGGCTAGCGGCTAGAGGCTAGAGCTTGAACTTGAAAGCCGGAAAAAACATGTCAAATGGACCCTACCCTCCAATACCTACTACTCTTTGAAAGTCTTTGGTAAGGAAACTTTCACTAATCACTTCACCACACAACTCAGTCTGCGAATGTTCTTTTGCACATTGTGTCATCTGCAGTGGGTTGGTTCACCACTCCATTCCACAAGCCACTGAAGCTGATCAAACCAAATAATTTTCCTGGCGGTCTTTTGGCAGGAGATCTGGAGGAAATATGAGGAAATGGATTGGGACAATCAAACCAACCCGCCAAAATCCACCAAAAGTCTTGACAAATTGAGGGCTCAAGGACGTGGCAGAATGATGTGGCAGTGTGATGTGGCAGTGCGCCAGTTGAGTGTGGCAGTGCACACTGCCACGACCATTCTGCTTGCGTGGCAGTACCGTGGCAGATTGAGCTGCCACATTGATCTAGCTGGTGTGGCAGTACCGTGGCAGCTCAAACTGCCACGTGTGGCAGCTCAAACTGCCACGTGTGGCAGCTCGAACTGCCACGGCCCTACGACCATGTCTGCCACATCCATGTGGACCCTTTGGATACCTCCCTGCCACCAACTTATCTGCCCTCTCCTCACCAAATTGAAAAGTAATTCTAAAATCTTGGAGGCTGGAAGCCAAGGCAAACCTCTGTATCGTAGAGAAATGACCGTCGGATACATCGAGTGGAAAATATGTTATATCTAATTTTTTTTGTCTGCTAATATCTGAAAGACTGATAGACTGGCAATGAAAAAGGGTTGGGTTGGGCTGGGGAACCATTGAACCTGGGCCGTAAGACTCCAAAAAAAATCACCTGCATTTGATGAAATTCATTTCAGTCCTGGTTTCGTTCTCGACGATGAAGCAGCCGTGCCAGCTCTGGGATTCATGCCAGCAGTTGCTCTAAGCGTCCAGGATTCCTCGAAATGAGATTCTCTGTCTACCTTCAACCCATCAACTAACCATGTAGCCAGCGTCACTAGCATCTCCATCCTGTCCTTGTTCTCCACATTCTGGCTTTTTTGGAAACGGAGCCAGCAGGTACAGTCTTTCATGTTCTTCATTTTGTGATGGCTGCATGTGGCCTTCAATCCTCTTGTGGAAATGAGAGGCTCTGCCGTAGAAATAGTTCCAATGCGTCGTTCACCATCATAGACACTTGCCACGGTTGATTTGGAAGCCTCTATCTTTACAACACATGTCCCAACTGCAAAGGTCTTCTCTGACTGAAGCTGAAGCATCGATTGGAAGTCTTGTCCCTCAAGAGGCCTGATTCTTGATGGGATGGAGCTGGATGGTCCAGAAGAACTTGGCGCTGAACTAGTCAGTGGGCGAACGGAAGCGCTTCCAGATGCTGCTGCTAGTGAGCTGATAACTGCAGGAGCATCGCCGTCTCCAAAAGAGCAATCAGGTGGCAAATCTGGGAACTGTCCCTCCTCGGTTGCCTTTTGAACAGTTGCAGCAGCACCGGCAAATTCAGCGCTGAACTCAAGGTCTAGCTCTGCTTCTTGAGGTTCAGCAGAATTGTACACTGCCTTAGAACAGTAGTAGAGCGCAGGTATGAATAGAGTATGCAGGTAGTCATAGTATAGTATAGTATACTGATACTGTATGTAAATGTAGTATACAATATAGTAGTATAGTATAGTATAGAAACATAGAACAGTGCAGTATAGCTGCATAGCTGCTATAGAATAGCCGCATAGCCGTATGTATGAGCATCAGTATGAGTATGTATGTATGAGCTATTCAGCTATTCTTTTCTGGTAAGTCTAAGTGTTGTTTGTGATTCTTTGGACAGTTTGGATTGGATCACTGTGATTCTGATTAGGTACAAGTCGTTACCTTTCTATCGTTCTATCAGTTCTATCTGATCACTACTCAATTCAAAGTGCTCTCGTTGAAAATTGAAACCATATCAGATCATATCAACATTATATAAACAAAAACAAAAAACACCGACGTCGACGCTGAAAGAAAAGAACTCTCCAACAACCTTGTGCTGAACTGACCCTCGCAAGGATGAACATTGAGAGTGAGAGTCAGGTTTCTCCACCTTCATGACCTCAATCCTCGGCCTGACATTTTTGTCAGAGTCGAGTAAATTCCACTGAGACTTCCTTGAAGCTCATCTAAGTCTGAAGAAGGCCAACCAAAGTAGTCAGGCCGATTCCAAAATCTCCACTACGCCGAAGGGACGCGTTTGCCCCTTTGACAAAAAGGGAAGAAGTACTGTAAACGTCGTGTCGTAAACACAAAAAAGGACCTACTACTGGTAGAGTCGTTTTGGCTCTGTTGACCTCAACTTCAAAGTCACAGTCATAGACTATGTCTATGTCTGAGTCTATGTCATTGCCCGTTGGCATGTCGTAGAGAAGGCCTTGCTGGAGGTAGAAAATGCAATGTTTGATGGGTCCGCGTTAAAGTTGCAGGAAGATCAGCGCGAGGCATCGCGTTGGCATTGGTAGTTCGGCTGGACGAGGACGACCAACCAGGCGCAGGAGAAGGATAATCCCAGCCATAATCCTGGGGCTAGTCAAAATGTTCAAAAGGTGTGACTAGGGCCACAGCTGACCTAGGTGACTTAAGACTCAAGTGATAGAATCTGATAGAAAGTCAACACACCCCTTTGATACTTACTTATACTCAGTAGTAGTAGTAGCAGCAGTAGTAGTAGTAGTAGTAGAAGCAACAGCGATATGATAATGATATCATCATTATTGGCAGTGGTGGTTGCCACAGACTCCCAGGCCCTAGGCTTAGAATAGTAATGTAGCTTAGTTTAGTTAAAGTTTAGTAATGAGTAGCAAGCGAATGTAGAACCTAAACTTCAGACCCTACGAACGTGCACCTGTACAATTAGGTCATTATAGGTGCTTGCCAAAGTCACAACTCAGCTCAACAAAAACTAATCAGCGTTGATCCTTTTTGGCCGCTTTAGTTTTAGTGTTTAGCCTTCTGTCCTCTGATTCGTACACATAGTTCCCAACAATTGGGTCAAAGGATACTGTGCGACGATTTTGTCGCGCCTGTCTTCTTGAAGGCGAAGGTGAATCATTCATTCGCCGTGCTTCGGGTGATGGTGGAGCCGGGCCTTCGTCTGGAAGTAGTAATGGAAGTAGCAATTGCTGACCGTGGCAAGTACCCATCTTCACATGAGCAGCCTGCATCGGATGGGATCAAACTGCATTTCTCCATCATGGCTCTTTGGAATTCGGCCTGCACATCTTCAGAACCAATGATCCGTATCATTCGGTCACACATAGCTCTCGCATCTGTGAACTCCATGGGAAGGAAAGCTTGATAGTCGAGTACTTGGAGCTCCATTCTGCCATCACGCGCCATCGCAAGAGGAACCTACTTGGCTCGGGTCTGTGATGAATGCGCTGACCTCTGCAAGCTGTAACACTGTACACTGTCCCTGGAGGATTATGAGCCGCAAGTATGATCAGCGACAGTGAGCATTTGGTTTCATTGAGCAACCTAGCTACTAGTCACCTAGTCAAGTCCTACCCACCTGATCTATAGCCAAGAACACTGGACTAAGTCGTTTATTTGTGTAGCCTGCAACGTGGTTCCCGTCAAGGCAACGAAACCACCCCACAATCCACAACAAGACGAGCTGCTTCATCCCCATCTTCATCCATATCAATATTTGCTCCCATAGCATCCTGGGAGGATGCACAGCTACAGCCAGACATTTACAAAAAACAGGATCTGGTATTAGTATAGGTGAGCAAGGGGCGAAGGGTAAACCGGGTAAACTTAAGCCCCGTATACAGATGCGGCACAGAGACAAAAATGAAGTATGATGAATGATGATTCATATATATTATATATATAACAACATGCAATGAACACCTTCCAAAACTTCATCTCTAGGTCTACGGGAAATTAGGCCCCAATAGAGTCCGTCAAAGCAACAAACAACAAACATTATATTTTGAACATTGCTTTGGCGTCGGCAATTCCCTGCATGGCTTTGCTGCGAGAAGTTGTTTCATCTCCCTCGTCGATGTTGTTGTTGTTTTTTCACCTGAGATCTAAATCTAAAGAGAGTCCAAAGGCCAGCCAGGGGTCTTCTTTCAGAACTTGGGACAGTTACTATTTTCTTGCTGCGGCAAAAGTCAACGATTGCAGTACAGTAGCACTAAAAATAGTAAGTCGTAAATTTAAATCAAACCACATCCAAGTTTCTGAAGAGTCCGTTTTCTCAGCGGTCAGAAATTGCTCGGCTTCCTTCAGCACTGCTAGCTTCTCTGGATCCACAACTCCTTCAAGGTCTCGCTGCCACTTTGGCTTAGGTTGGCCAAGTTCAGCGGCTTCGCTCAACTCCTCAGAATGTAAACCCAGTGCATCCATCAGCTGCCCCAGCACAAGATCATGGGAATCTTGTTGGTCTTGTGCGCTTGGGAGGTCTTGTGCGCTTGACCCTTTGCCAGACCTCCTACCAACAGAATTTCCACCCAACTCTTCGGAGAAAAAGTCTTGGTAGTCAATTGAGGGCGGAGGGCGTTCTTCATGAGCAGCAGGGGCAGTTTTTGCATATACAGGTGTTGCTGATGAGTCTATGCGCAGCCAGTCTTCTGACTGCCCAATCTTCACAGTCG